CAAATTTTTATTCGTGCATGTGTTAATTAAATTATTATTAATTTATAAATATTAATCATTCATTTTAATATTTCAGTAAAAAGAAATGGCAGATTCGAATTACCCGAAGTGCCAGAAGAAGATCGATCCACATTTCGGAACTAAAGCTATTCACGTGGGCCAAAATCCTGACCAGTGGTCTTTCAAAGACGTCGTTCCTCCGATTTCGTTGACCACCACCTACAAACAATACGGCCCAAACGATCAYGCTGTGAGTTTTTCTTTCGATCTCGATKAACAATCCGTCACAGGYTCGTAGCTGTTTAGGATTTTACGAGTAAAACAACAGCGCAAAATTCCACAGACATTTCCGCCACACAACCTATAGAAATTATTTAAAATTATTTATTCAATTACCATCATGTACAATATTACACACATGACACATAGATATATTATAATTGTATACTTAAGTACYTATCAGTTAGTCTCGATTTCAGTAATCACAAATAAAACTCGTAAAAACGCACAAGTTTTTTAAGTCTCAGAGTTCCACACGGTGTGCRGTATAATAACGCACTGATCAATGATATTCAAATGTCGATCGTTGATTTTTGTATTAATCTAGCAAGAATTTTAGACTTATTCACTCTTGCSGATTTATATTTAATATTTATTTATTTTTCTTTCCACATGACAGGGATTCGAGTACAGCAGGTGTGGCAATCCGACCAGAAAAGTGTTGCAGAACTGCATTGCTTCGCTGGACGCAGGCAAACACTGTCTGACATTTGCTTCCGGTCTTGCCGCCACCACGGCAGTGGTCCAACTGTTGCAGGCCGGAGACCACATCCTGTGCGGCGATGACATGTACGGTGGCACAAATCGGTACTTCTCGAAGATCGCGTCTAAATTCAATGTGAAGTTCACAATGACCGACATGACGAACGACAAGAACATTGCGAAATTAATTTTGCCAGAAACCAAGGTTAGGATTCAATTTATAAATCATTAATGCAATTATATATACCTAACTAAATATGACTTCGGCGCAAATTCGAAGACTTAATACCTTAAGTCAAAATGTAGTATTCAGTACTAGGTGTACTTATATCATTTTTATTATGGGGTAACAACGCTGTTTTATATATTTCTGGTCTTCAGCATCTAACCTGCTAGAATAAGCGTAGTGTTGGCAGTAGGCACAATGGTAGAATGTGAATTGAGAGGAGTCAAGCTTTGGGCAATTGACCCCACACCTGAGAATCTTTATTCACTTCGATATCATATATTTTCTATTGATAGCTATGAAAAACAGTAATATCGATTTGATATTTGTAAATATCTACAGTTATACATATAAAAGAGGTTAAGTAATAATTATTATAAAATCTATCTTAGCCATATAGACTATACGCGATAAAATTTCCATTCTAAAAAATACCAATTCAGGTAAGCTATATTCTAAAATTGAATGGTTTCTAAGGGTCAAGTTTAAATCAGAACTGATTGATGTGCAATAAATCATATTTTTATACCTTATATAAGTGTATACRTATATAGTACATATTATAATACCTAGCTATACMTATATATACGACATTTATTTATGCTCRATGTTTTTCTGAACAATGCACCTTGTGATTTAAATTAATTTGGTACATACTAACAGTGGCGTATTTACGAGGGGGTTTCCGGGTCTCGACCCCCCAGAAAAAAAGGTTTAAAAATCATAAATAACTTGCTACGCAGGTATCGAGAAAGATTAATTTATATTATGTGTTTTTAATGTTTTTATTACAATATTTGTATAAATAACTTGAGTTTAAYTTTTGGTTATTTTTGTCGTGTCGTCGCCTTTCATCAATAAATAAAAACTACTCAATAAAACCTGAAGAAGTTATTGAAGAACTTGCGAAAAAATAAGAGGTTTAACTTTTTTATTATAAAAAACGATTAATTTTGATATTTGTATTAATAATAATAATAATGAATTATTATTATTAAGTATATACCTAATATACATTATATAATTATTAAATCATAACTCGTAAATGTTTTTTATGATATTATAAACTTATACTTAATATTTAGACCCCCTCCCCCCCCCACACACAAAAAATTGAAAATACGCCACTGCATACTATTAACCTACACATACTGTAGTACATGTATATAGGTACTATACGATAGGTATCTATATCATTCCAATCTCATAACTGCCGTGTAGTCGACCTTGTGTCGACCTATTGAGGTTCAAAGGTTTCTACATCTYATTCTCACGATTTTCACGTAGACTGATTTGTATGTTCGTACATAACTCACATTATTATACATTTATTATATATATTAACATATTATATAGAAATGTGTACACTACACTACATCAGTGAATCGTGTGCGAAYAATAAAACTAATGCGAAACTTTTAATGATTCGATATACAATACGTCATTCGAACACGTTTTCATATTTTTCTTTTGATGTGCAATTTAATGTTATTAAAATTTATATAACAGCATGTTTAATA